CTACTGCTGCTGCTGCTGCTGCTGCTACCGCTATTACCATTATTATTACTACTGCGACTACCACTACGACGACGACGACGAGGACGACGACTACTACTACTGCTACTGCTACTGCTACTGCTATTGCTATTGCTACTGCTACTACTACTGCTACTACGACTACTGCTACTGCTGCGTCTACTGCTGTCACCATCATGACTCCTACTCCTACCCCTGCTGACGCTCCTGCTCCTGCTCTTCCTCCTACTTCTGCTCCTAGTCGTGCTGCTGACTTCGAGCCCTGACCCATAACCCTTAATCCACAATGCAAGCCGGGAGCCCGGCCCGAAGTGCTTCCAGCAACGTCAGGATCAACGCCAGGGGCAACCTGAAACGACTTGGGGCTTGGGGCGGTTCGGTTTTGGATTCGGTGCGTAGGAAGGGCTCTCTGTGTATTTAGCAGGATTGTAAAGAGGCTTTGACATACTGAGTACCGCAGGTTCGATATCCTGTCTACTTTGCAGATGAAGCGAAGCCATTACTCGCTAAGCAAAGGCGAGTAGGCTCTTTGGGCCCACCCATTAAGGCCCCTAAAGACCGTCGAAAACCATTGACCTAAACCCTTCGCACCCAACTGCTCAACGGTGACCGCAAGATGTAGGAGCAGAACATGGCCATTCAGCACCGAGTCGCACCAATACGATGACGGCCAGGAGAAGACAAAGGCCTGGCAAGTGTTGAGGGCATAGGGTTGCGAGGGTTTTGGATTTCGGGTTGGAGGGGGGGGGGGCTCCCTGAAGGCGGAGGTGGCTCAGAAGTTTGGGGGTAATGTTACTTCAGAGTTTACAGTTAGGGGGTTCGGTTGGAAACCAGGAATAGTATAGTGTGCTTCAGGCGGTATCTTCAAGTCGGATGGCTTTGTAAGGCTGTGGCACTTGGCATAGCATATCAGCGAAGCCTTTCAGAACTCTGCAGCCATAAACCCAAAACCACTCAAAAAAAAAAACTCAGCCGGAAACACTACAACCATGAGTCCTACAAACAAAAACCCAAATCGGAAGAAAACAAGATAGATGCAAAAACCAAAAAAATTACCAACCCTTCGCTTCAACATTCGACCCCTAAACCCTAAGACCACAACCACACGGCAGACCTAGAAACTGAAGCCTAAGTACAAACCCTCACCAAACCCTACAAGCGGAAACCCTGAAATCCTCACACAGAAAGCCTGCGACTCGTGCGCCAGAAACCCGAAACACCTTTCAGGAAAGCAAAAGACAGCAGGACAACCGTATCTGTCGACAGCCCAGAAGACGTCGCGAGAATGGCCGCAAGCATAATTGGCAAGTGCATTCTGCGAGCTCATCGCAACTCCTTGTCGCCTTGTCCTTCACAGCGAACTCCACACCCTTTTAGGAGTTCTTCCACCACTTCTCGGTTTCGGCCCACGAGGCCGTCGCGACCGCTGCTCTTCGTGTGCCACGATGCAACCGATATCTTGAGGGACGACTCTAGGGTGTTTTAGGGTTTCGGGCAAAGCCTTGGGGAGTTCCGCGTCTGTGGTTCGGGTTTATCATAAGAGTTGGAGTGCACAGGATTTTTTCAAACCGCAGTTGAAGAGCTTACAGCGTTAGGACGACGGGGCAAAAGCAGCTGGCGAAGGAGCTAGACTGACAAAAACTCTGAGAACCTTGCACAATATTGGAAAACAGCACGCAGGGTACACTACCCTGTATTTTACGTAGCCCACTTCTGATTTCGGTGCCATCCCAAAACAACCTTCCTGAACTCGAAACTGCCAGTCCTAAGCCGGGAAAAGCTGAAAGAAATACTCGGTAGCTCCACCCAGGAGCGTGCCGATCACCGTCTCGGCGAGCGACCAGTCCCGTGACTGGCAACAGCTGAGGTCTGTCTTACCAACATGTGCACGAGGCAGCCGGGGTTCTCGTGCTAGCCTGCAATGCTAGAGTCTGCTAGACTGGCAAAACCAGGCCTCTGGGCCTCTGGAGAAGGACAGCGACCCTATGGGAAAACCTTCATCAGCTGGTTCTAAGCGGAAGCACTTAAGCAAATCTTACAGACCCCTTGCTGCCAAGGATCCACTTGGACAGGAGGCAAGGCTCTGAAAAAAGAGAGAACCAGGCTTCGACTTGGACGTTTAGTTCTCCACTTGGATTTGAAAGCAGCCCCAACCATTACCCAAAAACATCTCACAGCAACAACCATAATCCCGCTATAACAAACTCAGACATGGACTTGTAGAATGCATATATATGTATGTAAACATATGTATGTATACTGCTTGCACACTAAAAGCCATCCCAGAGACCGGCTCTCGCGTAGAATCCTTTGCGATACATAGCAGCATAACAGATTCAAACGTGAACTCCCAGCTGTGAGCTTACAGACTATCAGTGACTATCGAAAACCCTGCCTTTGCTCCCGCCTTTGGGGAGATGCCCGCGCCGAGCGTCGGGGTAAAGCAAGGGTTCGCTGGGCACACAAGGCCGCGGTACTCACCACACCTTGGTCGCTGCTGCAAGGAACTGAAAGACTCATGTAGTCACCTTTCGACTGGACCATTGGGCATAAAGAATGGCCACACAGCTGAAGCGGGTTCTGCTTCAAAGTGAAACAATGTCGTGCAGAGGCTTCGGTTTCAAAGTGAAGCGGCTGCAAAGTTTTCCAGTCTTAGGCACTTATGGCTGAGCCTGAAGGTCGAGGATCTCCTCATGATCTGTCTGTCTCTTGAAAGGTCCCCCACATCTCAGATAGGCGGCAAGGAAGTCAACTAAGGCCGTGGCCACTTGTCGCTGTAAGTCCCTTGCATGGCACCGTGGCGGGTCCCCAAAGCCGGCAGCCAGGGACTCGGGTTCGGGATTCAAGGGCTCCACTTTTTGAAGCCTTTCATCAACTTCAGTCGCTCGGTTTAAAGTTTTGGCTTCAACACGGCAAGGGTCCTGTGGGGCTGAGGGTTTGGTGTATCAGGGTTGTGCTGTAGTTCTTAGTGGTGTTTCGGACCTAGGGACGCACTGTTTTCTGGACTTCTCACTGCCGAACGTATGGCCTATGGTTGTTGTGATATGTCATATCTACTCTTCCTGGTCTACCGTTCGTTTCTTCGGCGGCAGCCGGCATCCATGCGAAGGCTGGCTCGGAGGTTTTGAGCTCAAATTGTCAAGGTTTCGGTACAGGGGGAGAATGCTTGAGGTTACTAACTGGCCAAACCACGAATAGTGTGGTTCGGGTCATAGTTTGCCCTAGCATGCCCCAGCTCTTGCAACCCCTCAATCAACCCAGATGCAACACACTGCATAACTTTATCTATACCGAAGTGGGAAAAATTAAACAAAGCGCCTGCCATCAAACTACGCTTAAAGCAGCCCTTACTGCCGAGCCTGAAACCTGCCAAACCCCAAGTCTTTTGGGTCGATAGCTTCCAATGTCCAGCCTCACTGCAAAGGGGTGTGGATGTGGGGCGGGCAGCTAGATCTGCTTCGCCAGAATCGGGTTCCAACCGAGACCCATCACGCAGTTTCAGCCTCGCTTCTCCCAAAGCAGATTGCATCCGCAACGGAATTAGTCCCTCCATGCAACCATGTGTGACGAGGCACATAGGATCACCTGTAAAGTATGGGGGTTTCAACGGCAGAAGGGTGTCCTCTTGATGAAGGGAATTTCCCAAGGAAATCCTGCTTTAAGCAAGTTTCCCTGTCATGCACCTCAAGGCGACCTCTTGATGAAGCCCTTGATCCCATGTAGTCAGCACGACTCTGTACAGCTGCCCTGTGCAGCTTGATGTACACAGGCCAGTTCGACAAAATAACACTCTCTGAACACAATTGAAGTGCTTCGGCCGACAGCATCTGCTGCGCCCCCCCTCTTCCTAGCAACTTCTATGTCAACTGACCCTGAGCCCTGTAACATGAAGGCTCTGCAACAGGATTCGGGCGAAGCTCCGGCGTCAGCCATTCCTGGGTCAGCTACCCGCATCTCTTCTGGACATCGCCTTGGTTCACAGGTCGATGATAAATGTCGAGAAGGAGGAGTTGTGACTTTTCCGAGGCGGCGGCGACACTGCTTGCGCGCGACCGCGCCGGCACCCGGGCCGGTGGCTGGAAGCCGCCCTCCGCCAGGCCCTGCCCCAAAACCTCCGCCACACCACCCCCGCGGTCGCGAGGAGCAGGTGCGAAGCGCGGCACAGGTGTCGAGGCCCGTGGCCGCCTAAAAGGGGCTGCCAAAGGCCCCTCCGGCTCTGGCTCTGGGTCCGCCAAAGGCGGTGCTCGTGCACCTCCAGGAAACTGGCATTCACACGCATCTCACACGCAGCCAACGCCCACCTGCGGAGACGGCTCGGCTCCGGGCCTGGGCGCCAAGTGCCAACCCGGAATCTTTCCGAACCCCAATCCTCTGTGCCGAGATCTGACGGCCAGTTGTTGAGTCTTGTTCCGTGCGGGTCCTTCATGTTCTAGATCTTGGCTAGCCTGGCCTGGATTGGTTTTTACGGAGGTCGCGGAGTCTCGATGGTCGTGTGTTGCAGCAGGTTGTCGGTGTGGTGTTGGGGCAACCTAGTGTGACTTACAAGTTCTGCGTCAAAAGCATCAAGAGACATCTCGACCTAGCCAGCAAAGCCTAGGAAGGACCGACCCCGCCACGCCTAGAAAAACAACAAGCCCCTCCACACACGGCACCAGCGTATCATGGGACTAGTGGGCCAGAGAACCGGAAGACCGCAGGGACCACGGGACCGGCAGTCTCGGGCACCAACATCCGGCCACGCTTTGAACCAAAAACATGCCCCGCCACATCTAGGACTGGGAAAGACAACACCGAAGCAGCACCAAAGAATGGTACATAAGAGGCTCTGACACTAAACCTCAGAATCTACATCTTGAAACACAGCCGTGGCCCCTCAAACATGGCAAGTAGAAGTTCAGGACCTCAAGACTCTGTGTGCATGTGCGCATGTCGACCAGGTGTCCGCGAGGATCTGGTACCCGAAAGCTCCATGCCAAACCTGGAAAGCCAACACTCCAAATCCACACTCCAAAACCCTGGACCGCTGCCACCAAGCGACCGGGTAGGGAGCAAGGCCCAAGTAGTTGTCGCGCTGCCTTTTCTGGGCTCTGAGGAGCTTGGCATGGCTCGGGCTGCAGACCCTGCAAGCTCCGGAGCGTTTAGGCGGATCAGATGCTGAGAAGGGTTGGGTTTTTTTGGGTCTCTACGCAATGTACCGTCCGTAGCATGCTTGGAACATAGCAGTAGCACCAGTAGAAGTAGAAGCAGAGGTGGAAGTCGAAGTCGAAGTCGTAGTAATAGTCATCGTCGTGGTTGTAGTAGTCGTCGTCGTCGTCGTCGTAGTCGTAATCGTAATCGCAATCGTCATCGTCCTCTTCATCGTCATCGTCATCGTACTCGTAATCGTGGTCGCAGCAGCAGCAGCAGCAGCAGCAGCGGCATAATAGGAGTAGGCACGTTTGCTTGCGCAGAGATGTCGTGTTTTGGCAGGGGAACCAGGGGATTGCGGTGTGAGGTAGGGGTGAGACCGACACTGTAGTGTAAACACATCACAACATCACCACAAGCTGCTTCGAAAGCAAACCCTGCCGAGGTTTGGACGGGGTGTTGCAGAACATCTCTCACGCAGAGCCGATATCGTGCTTTTCGTGTCCAATCGTGTTCGATTTCAGCGTGTAGAGGTGTTAGACCTTCTTGCCTCAGCCGCTGTCCCGCAGTTTTGAAGCCGGAGCTTCTGCCATTTCGTCAAAGGGCATATGCAAGCCAAATGAATGATCCAAACACAAGCAATGGCACAGCAAATGAGATAAATGAGAAGTGTTCGCCAGCTGCCCACACTTGGGCTCAGCGTGGATACGTGCAGGTACCGCCTGGGACAGAGCACCTGCGCAGTCCTTCTGTCCCCTGCAGAATGATGAGGATGAAAAGTGAAGTGTGTGGGAGTGACCTCTTCCTTGACACATACCGATATGAAGTGTCTACTAAAACCCATCTACATTGTATCAGCCACAAAACTACTATAAGCAGCGCTGCTCATAACTCCAGGCAATCAATACCTCTGCCCAGCAGAACGAAACCCAGAAGAAACACGTGGGCCCGTGAGCCCAGGCCTTTGCACAGCAGGCCGTTCGGGTGCTGCGGAGCGCGGCAGCCCGACCTCTGTTTAGTTTCTGTCGCAGAATTTACAGGTTTTACCCATTCTTTATTGAGAAAGGGCTCCATGTCTGTCTTGTCTACAGCGGCCATAACGGAAACACGAAACTGTTTTTATGTCGATAGAAACGCTAAGACAATTCTTGAGTTTAGTAAGAACTAATACTCCAGACTCCAAATCATCCGACGAAGTTTGAACATCCCGGAACTTCGGAGTCTTCTGAGAATATGCAATTCTGCGCCCGCTGCCATTTGCCTTTGGGTTCCAGCCTTGCATACCCACATGGCGTCTTGGCGCTTAGTTAGCTCTTTGAGGACTTGCTGCTAAGACTCGCAGCGATCGAAGCAGAGAAGCCTCCAGAAATCGTGCGAAAAACCTGTCGACCCCCACTTTCGACAATGCACACTCCCAACCCCACAAACCCTAAACCCTGAGCCTCAACCCCTCCACCGGTTCCAACTACAGATGGGCCCCTGGCGAGTTCGAGATCCGACTCTCGAGCCAAGGCGCCCTTCGGGAAGTGCCTGTAGGACATCCGATTTTCAAGTGCAAACAGCGAAAGCTTCCGTGGCTCGGAACTGAAGGTCTCTGGCATAATGGAAGCCTTCGAGCAATAATGGTATCATCAAAGTTGTCAAGTGGACATCTCACCTGCGCTCTAAGCCCTGACTGAACTCACCAAACTTCATGCCGATAAGAACCCTGCTGAACACAAGGCCTTCCGTTATTTCAATCGTTAGCGAGCATGCCGTATAGTACACCCAAGCCTGAACCCTGCCTGAGCCGTCACCACACTCGCTTAAGTTGCAGAGGACCCTTGTGCTGAGGACACCCAAACAGAATAACTTCTTAGCTTGCCGGCTTGACTTCAATATTAACGGGAGATAATACGGCTGGTATAGCAACGTGCATACCAAACATGCCACATAGCACGCGAACGTGAGTTCCGGGATTTCGGACCCCTTTGCATTTGTAGATTGTGAAGGACTTGGAACGTTGGGCCTTGAATCCTTCAGGATTTAGGAGAAACGGGCGTTCATCAGAAAGCCTAAGCTTAGGCTTGCTTTCACTCTTGCAGCTTCGGATTCGGAGTTTCCAGGCTGTCGGTTGAAGTTTGACGCTCCAACCTGCTGAGCCACTGGCTCAAACACGGTCTTGCTTGGTGTCTCACGGTCAGTCTAAAAAGTAGCGCTCGGGATTCAGGGCTTTAGGATCTAGGCAAGTCCGGCCCAAAAGCGGATCGTCACGGCGTGCCTCGCGTCGCCAGCATGCAGCTTGAGCCTCAGACTCCAAATCCCAAAGCCCTCCCAAAGCCCCCAACTCCATGCAAGACGTGCTAAACACCCAGTGGCGAAGAAGATGTGACTCCCGAAAGAGGGCGTAGATGGCAAACATTGGACATTTCCAGCAGTCTACACATGTTCATCTTTCCTCTGCCAAACTGCAGCCGAGCAGCAAGCGCCGCCGCTCCTCCTCGACTATCTGGGCATGCTCGGCCTGGCAACACGCGAGCCGCGAGACTCCACATGATGATACCCGTCTGCAGAAATACTTTACTTGCCTCGAGCTGGAGGGCTTAGCCGGGTATCTGTCCAGACCTTCCTCATGCGCATTGGTAGCATGTCCGTCTCAGCCTTGGGGCCTTGGGGTTAGACCACATAAACTCAAGAACCTAAACCCCAGACCCTAAACCACTGAACCGAAAGCCTAAACCTGGAACCGACCAACCCAAAACCCCAGATCCCAAGCTCAACACCCTCGCCCTAGAGTCCGTTGAGCCCTCAGCCTTCAGAAGCTACGTGCCTCGGAGTTTCAGAGTTTCGGGCTCAGATCCGGGCCTCTACGGCACGCAGCCGGGCCAGCTTCTCTAACTCCTGGTCTAGGGTTCAGAGTTGAGGGTTTTGTTGGTGTGTTGGGGGGTGTGCCCTGTAAAATGTTTTCAGCGTTACTCTGAGATATAAACGTGGCAAACGCATCAGACTGGGCGATGGGCAGGATCCGAGGAGAAACTCGACGAACACCCAGGCCAAGTCGAAGTTCCAAGGGGGCTCGACGCAGGTCGGCGGGATTCGACGGCCTTCGCCGGATACTGTGCGCCGTTCCCCCCATATGCCGTTCTGATCGGTTGACCCCGGATATGTCATGCAGGTTTTCACGACGTACGCCATTGCCGCGTATTGCTCCTTCAGCCCTCCCGTGCCGGAGGCAGGACAGCCGACCCCATATGTGCTTCTCTTCTGTTTTGCCTCATGGTCTGGTTGTTCTTCGGTTGCCGGAAGATCCACTTTTAGAGGGTCACCCATGCGACGCTTCACCAGCTCTGGTCAAGCGACCTATCTGTTGCGTTAGGATCCCCAGCTTTGATATGACGGTTGCAGCGCCAGACATTGTAGTCACGATCTAAAACTCAGGGGTTGAAAAACATCACCACCTCGAAAATGCAGGAAGCCTCGAAAATGCTGCAAATAAGAGGTCCTCAATGACTGCACGCATAGCGCGATCCTGCGAATTACCCTGCAAACAGGTATTCCCAGATAGCTTGACGCAACTGAGACCCTGCAAATAACAACAGTAGCAATTGCCGAATAGCTTGACGCAGAAGCATTTTGGCCGTGCTCCTGAATCTCAAGTACTGCGGGAAGCATGGCGGGCGTGCTCTTGAATCCCACCAGCATTGGGGGGAAGCATTCCGGCCCAGCTCCTCAATCCCACCAGCCGTCCTCCTGACAGTGCTTGGAAGAAGTGTCTGGTCTCTGGTTGGCCTCATAGTGGTCACCGTACTTGGTCGTCAAGGTGCTCTGTCAGGGTTCGGAGATCCAGGCTGGCATAACCCTTCAAATCAGAGTAGATCGGGGCACTCCCGAACCGGTGACAGGAGAAAATCCTCACGCCGATTCGCGCTTTGCGCCAGTCGACCAGTGCATAAATGCAGAAAAATGTAAGTTTCGACGGCTCAGCAGAACAATGTTCACAGCCAATAGTTTGTTGATTTGCAGCCTCGGCAAGCCCGAGAAAATGCTGTGCTGGGCGAAGGAACTGGCGACACCGCAAAGCCTGAACCACCTCTGGATTGAAGCAAGAAGTGTATTGAATTGCTCCCAGTACTCTTCCAGTCCAGGAGCAGGGACAGCGCATGATGACCCACACCACCGCCAGATCTTCGGACAATTTGGGAAGACAAGCAAAATCTAAACACAAGCCCTGCAAACCCTAAACAGCCCTAAACTCTAGACGTCCTTAAATCCGTAAACCCCGAACTCTCAAACTCGCTGCCCAAGAGCATCGGCTCCTTGCGCCTCTCCGCCTCGCACTGCTGCTTCCGAGCCTGTTACGAGGGTTTAGGCCCAGTTCAGGGTTTTGGTGCTGGGGTTTTGGATTTCAGGGCTCTGGGGATCTGAGAATCTGGGGTCAAGATCTGAAAACATCCATGGCAGTGGGCAAGCAGGCTTGGAACTTCCAACGACAGAAGTCGTTGACTAACCCAAGCCTTCAGCGATTTGGACTGCGAGTTGCAGAAGGCTCCGCACATGCCACCCCGATCAGGATTGAACTTAGTGGCTTGATCAACCTTAATGAAAGGATTTGCGGTTAGGGACGGACTTCTTCATGTTTGAGACCTGCGGACTTCTGCTTTCGAACCAGAGCATGGATTTGCCGCACCTCCATCTGATTGTCCACCTCCCGCCGGTACTCCTGGCTCACTTCACTGGGCCAAAGACAAGATTGAGACGACAGTTGCACATGCAGTATGGTCATGACGCAAGCGAACACATTCCAGCCGGTGACGAAGGGAACATAGACGAGTATGAGGAAGCACAAAAGTAGAAGCAGCATCAGCAAACGGTGACGCAGCAGCATCAGGAACAGCAGCAGCAGCAGCAGGAACAGCAGCAGCAACGTCGACAACCATAAGGATGTAGCGAAGACCCTCAGAACAACAGCAGCGACACGAAGCTCATTAGGAGCCTCGGAGCCTCGCAAGCTGTGTCGAGCTGTCACGCAAGGAAACCAAGCAAACACGAGGTAGCTGCTGTCAAGACAGGGCAAGAACAATGATATTTTTTTCAAGGAGACCCAGCAGAACAAACAAGACAATGAGGAAAAAAAACCTGCACAGGCGAAACCTGGAACGAACTCGAAAAGCCCTGAATCCTTGTGGCCTGCATCTTCAGACGTCGTCTCTGAGCCGACATTTGGTCCACCCGCTCGTCCTAGTGAAACAAGGTCGCATGGACGACAGTCTATGCACATACGAGGAACACTCTACCGGGCTGCTAACAACGTGCGAGCCACCATCTGAACAATAAGCTTCGACCGGTAATCCTCGTGTAAAACAGCTGCTTGAACCGTACTGCAACTACTCCTGGCATGCCCGGAAACACCAGCCTCAGCGAACTGCTCCATGAGGGCCTGTCTCGCTTCCTGCTCCTGGCCGATTTCCGATTGCACGCCTACTGTTGGGCCGAATAGCCAGCATGCAGCATCCAAGATTCGTGCACAGCTTCGAGCTTGGACTCATAGTGCTCTGTCGTTCCGTCGTGGTTTCGGCCAGCGGTTGTTGGTTTTCAGGGTTCGAAGGCTTTGCGGATCCAAAGACTTTGGAGCAGCCGGTGGGAGAGGTCCGTTTAAGACGGCTTTTGCGGTGCAGGCTTCCTTGGTGTGTTCTGTGACTTTGTTGCTTGTGCTGTCGCCGAGACGCTTGTCGTCTGGATCTCTCCGGGAAGGGCCTCAGGTAGCAACGACGCCCCAAGACCGTTTGAGACGAAGACTCGACCAGACAGAAAGTCCGAAGTACCAGAAACCCACTGGAGGCAGATGCCTTGGCAGCTTCTTCCTTGCGCAGGCGTTCTTGCCTCTCGAGGTGTGCCTGAGGGTCTAGCTTAAGGCCTCGGCTTGTATGCTGCGGAAGGCAGTCCCCACTACAAAACCACCTTAACGCTCTTCAACATGTGCTACTTTGAGGGGTTGTGCGGGTTTTGCCATCGCATGTTTTTTGGGCGATCGACTTACTGCTCACCGTTGCAACACAATCAACCGTATCAGTGCAGGCGTGCCGGTGAGGTTTGGGCTGAAAGGCACATGTCAATTCGCGCATGCCTGAAGTGGCACGCGCTCGTGCATGCATGCTCGGTGTAACTACTATATAAGTTCTGAAATGCTGGGTCCCTAAAGCAGGCCATCAGCAACAAAAACAATCCTCAACAGAAAAAGGCGGCGCAAAACATCTCGCGCGGCCGATCCCAAAATCAGAGGCTTCGAGCTTTAGGCTCCAGGCTTCTACGTTCAGCATTTTGACTTGAAGGTGTTTAGGATTCCGTGAGGAGAAAGAGGCAACACAGATGCAGCTTCAGTCGACCCGGGTAGAGCCTCAGAGAGTAGCGAAACTCACTCCATGAGCCGTTCAGAACCCTGGACACGCGAAACCTCGAATGACAAACAATCGAACTCACAACCACGTTTTGAGCTCCACCGTAAAAAAAAAAAAAAAAAACCTGACGCCCTTGGCACAACGTCCAAGCCCCCAAAAAAACAAAACCAAAGCCATGCCTGGGGCTCTCAAAATCCCATGATGAAACCCGAAAACACGAACCCCAATCCCAAAAGCCCGCAACCATCAACCCCGAAACCCTAATCTTCCACCCAACGAGCCCAAACCGAACCACAACCCGGCAATCTTGAATTACAAAACCATAAACCCGCAAACCCTAAACCCGCAAAATGCGTAAAAATCCCATACCCCAAAACTAACGCTTGCACCTGATAGGCTCTCAGCATCTCCTGCTGGTCTTCCAGCCTCTTCTGGGCCTGAGGAAGCGTGTTTCAGCGCTTTGCCGGTTGGGCTCCAAGGTCCAGGTCAGGTTAAGGTTTAGCGTTTGACGGCTTGCCGGGCTGAGTTGGTGATTTCAAAGGTTCTGCTGTCGGATTTTACAGAAACATTGGGGGGGATGCAGCCGGGCGCCTGGATGATTGGAAGGGGCTGTCGCGGTTCTTTGTACTTCAAAGCTCTATGTTGAATATGTCACGGTCTAATATTTCAAGATTTTACAAGCTCATGTGCTGGAAGAGGCTAGTTACAAGGCAAGGCTTCGGATGCTCACAACCCACATCACTGCCATCAGCATCATCGCATGGGGGGAGAGTCAGCAGCATCCTTATCACCATCATCACCAGGATCATCATCGTCGTTGCCTTAACCAATCACCAACCCAATCATGCTGATCATCACGATAATCATAATCGCCATCATCACCAACACCACACCAGCCCTCTGAATATCAACGTGAAAGCAAGTCCTTGCAATAAAAGCAAAAAGCTGTATCAAGAAGAGGTTGCACCAGTCTCAGTGCTAGTGGGAGCAATCATTTAGGACCTAGATAAAAAGAACTCTAGTGCCACAGAAATGGAACCACGAAGGAAACGCAAGGAATAACATCTACCTCGACAATCGGTGGCCGTCTTCGAACAAAGCTTCAGGCCTTCATCCACTCTTTCCTCCGCTCGAGCTCTTCACGCTCTTCGTACCAGAGCTCCTGCTAGCACCGGCCAACTAAGCCTCAGCCCGAAACCTCCATCTCGAATCTGGGACTCCTAAGACGCCAGAACTGAAAGACCGCAAGCGCTAGGTTCGAGTGCGCTGGGAAGTTCGGAGACCTTGCCGAGCTGGTATTGCGAGGCTGGCACTCTGTCTGAACAATCGGGGTCATTCCGACAGTCTAGAGATCAATGTCGATTTCTTCCGGGCTAGGGACCGCGATTGCGACTGTTATCTGGAACCGGGGTCCGCACTCGTGCTGCTGCTCGAACAATTCAGCATGCGATTCAAGCTGAGTAAGACAAGATAATGGGAAAGCACCTGGCCCGGAAGACTCTCCTGTGACCTTGAAGAAAAGAGCTTGAATTCCGAGTAGATCTGGACACCCCTTGAAACTCGGAACCGAATAGCCCGGAAAACAAACACTGCAGGTCCGAGTTTCTTTCTGAAGGCTGAAGCTTACATTCCAAAAACCGGAGCTCTTTTAAAGCACTCGAGTCAACCATTGCTGCTGGGGGCATTGTTCTGAAATCCGTCTGGCATGGGTTCTGGACATCCTATATACTGCCCGCACCAATCCCAAGCTCTGAGAAGCCATGATAACAAAATACTTGCAAAGTATCATAAAGGATTTAGAGCCAGGCTGAGTGCGTCAGAGGCTGGCAAGACCAGCCCAAATCATTTTCGAACCCAGACGAGGAAGCTCCCTATGCCGGGGACCCAGCTAGCTTGAATACCTGATAAGCTCCAGGAAACTTGTTCAAGATGTCGCAAGCCTTTCAGACATCCCGTAGCAACATGTCGAAGCTCCGCCCAAATCTCGAAAGCTATCGGAAACAGGTACAAACCAGCCAGTAGATCATATCCGATCTGGCACCTGCAAACGTCGCTACGTACTTGCCTGGACACTCGACACCCAAGCCGCTGGGCCCCTAAGCCCAAAACCTCCAAAAAGAATTCGGCTCCTCGCGGAGCTTCTCTCGCTCTTGCGCCTCGCGGTTCACTCGCACCTGCTTGCTGCTGAGCTCCTGCGCATCATTCAGGAGTCAGGGATTCTGGGAATCTCTACGACTCTACGACTTTGGCGCTATGAGTTCTCGTCGTGCGCTGGAGCAACATCTTGCTGTTATTGGGTGTAGCATTTTGCTTTGCTTGGGAAGTGTCGCCATCAGAACATGGCCGAACAACAGACCTCCAGAATCACCTTAGACAACCAGGGAGTCCGCGTAAGCCAGTCTTAAGAGTTTACCATCTGCGTAGGCGGCACGGAGACAGAGCACCGGCCCAGTAGAAGAGCCCTATGCTCCCCAGCCCTCTCTGACGTTACTTGCGCAATCTTTGGACGTGCACGCATCAGTGCTCCCGCGTCTGCCACTTGGTGCTCGAAGTCGACCATCCGATTCAGAGTTAGAGTCTGCTGGGTTCTAGAGGCTCTCGCCCTTTAAGGGCTGTGCACGATTCTGTGGCACAAGAGGCGATATGAGTGAACTTTGAAGGAACTCGGGTTTATACAGTTTCAATTTCTCACATACAGTTCAGGGTATCGAACTCATCATGGCTGCCCATGCTGGTAATGGGACCTTAATGGCCCCAGCCAGGGTAAGCCTAGAGTAGCCCGATGCCCTCAATCCTCCAACTGTCAAAACACTGAGGAGAGACGATGGAATCCTATGCAAATGTGGCTGGCTCGAACAAGATACTGTACAGCCCTCAACTCGGCCCTCTATTCAAGCTCAGGGTACCTGGAGAACTCGATTGCGCTCCGCCTCCAGCTCCCGCTTCCTGCACAGCGTGTGGAGTTGCTCTGTACACAGAGCTTAGAACGAACGTCGAGGCTTTTGTGTCTCTGGCTGCGGCTGTCTCGTGGTGTTGTTACACTCTGATTTCATCAAGGTTCAGCGGTTGCTGCGTGCAAGAAATAGAAACGGCTTCGCATGGTATGTGCCGACTTGTGTAGATTAAAGTCGTTGACATCCAGGCAGATAAAGCGAAGGCTCAGATCGACTTACAGCCAGCGAAGTTTGCAGCCAACGACCTATGAGCCCCTGGGGCGACAAGATCAGCCCTGAACACAAAACTACCCTGAACGCCCAAGATCAGTCAAGATGTGAAAGCAGACGACATGCCCCAGACTTCAAGAAGCTTCCGAACACTGCACAGACGGGTGCACAGCAAAGTGTGGAAACTGGCAAGAAACTGCCCGTACTTCAAGGTCTTATTTAGACATGGGACCAAACACGATGTCGTGATTCCGAGCCCGAGGCTCTTTCGCCACTTGCTCCTCACGTGATCGCTTCTCCCTTGCATAGGCCTTGGCGCCCGAAGGCCGAAGGCTTCCCCAAGGCGTTTGAGCTGCAGGTGCAGAGAATTAGCAGGCCCTCAGAGGAAAAGCTCCGAAGTCCCGAGCGAAGGATCTCAGGCGCAAGCTTCGATTCGCTGGTCTTCCTCCACCTGGCAAGAAGCCCAAAAAAGACCTGCAGCCTGCACCGTCTTAAAAAATCTAAGACTGAAGCCGCCCCGAAGCCCTTAGGGGGTCCGGATCCGGGGCCTTGAGGCCAGGAGGGGCTCCGTAGCCTCTGCTCAGACTGCAAGCGCCTGAGCCCGAAATCCTAGACCGGGATATTCAAATCCTCCCATTCAACCATCTAGCAGTACCTACAGTAGCAGTCTAGGGCGAGGCTTGGGGGCATCGAAGTTGATCAAACTAACTCCTCCTTGCCCAGACCCACCTGCTGCTTCTCGTCCTCGCGTCGGCGGTCCAAGAGGGCCTGGTGGTACCTGCCAGCTGCGGATTTACCTGGAACTCCACATCCCAAGTTCAAGCCCGAGCCTGAGATCAAAACCCTAGTTTTCTGTTCCAGAACCCAGGCCAAAATGTTAAGTCTGCAGGACCCAAACCCTGAACTCCATAACCCGAAGTCCTAAAATAAGTCCCGCACCGACTACGCAGCCAATGATCACATGCCACGGCAGCTACGATTTGATCTAAAAGCCGGACCGTCGAAATATGCTAAAATAACGGCTCAGTTTGAACGAAGCTGCGACAGACCAGCTAGCTTGTTACGCCAAAGCTGGGCAAAGCTGAAAGTCACTTCGCTCGTCCTGTGGACAGCGCCGCTTGCTGCTTCGTTGGTTGCACTGCTTTTTGTGGTTTGTCTTTTCAGTTTTACCTAAACCGGACACCCTCAAACACTATAGCTCGAAATTTGCAAGCCTACGACGAGATGCTGCAGCCTAGGGAATCCTACACTAAGTCGGGGATGCGGGCGGCCAAAGTAAGGCCAGCTGAAGTCTGTGGTTTGCGGACTTTCGATCTTGAAGTTTAGGGTTTGGGTTCATGGCCTTGGACTTTCGGTTTTGAGGTGAGATCGAGAGCTGCATTCACCTGATGCAAAGAAGTACAAAGAAGAGACTCCTGGTAGCACATACAGTGTGCGTTTATCGTCCCCGTAGTCTTCAGAACAGATGTACATTACTGTATGACACTACGGACAACAGACGCGGAGCACTCTGCCAGGATTCGGTTGGCCTCCTTCTTCTTCTGCTCCCTGCCATGAAGTCGTGGAGTACAGAGGCTAGGGTTTATGCACCACGCAAGGGCTGCACGACGCGGGTTCAGCAAAGCCTCGCGGCATTTAAAATGAATGGGTGGGACATGGTTGGGTTGAAATCGTGGTTTCTTCTGTTCAACTCCATGTGGCCTTCCGAGCTGCAGGGCAATTGCTGTGAGCCTCACAAGCCGTTACGGAAGGTACGAAATCCCGCAATTACATCCTCAAACCCGTGTGCCAGTCTAACATCCTCCGACATCCGAACGCCTTAGCTTCGCAGCATGGACCTGGCTGCCAAGTCCCGCAAGTCCTCGTCCATGATCTTCGCCACTACATCCTGGGAGCGAGAGTTGGAAGCCGACATTTCCCCCCTCAACACCTCACATGCACCAAGAACAGCCACAGCCACGACCACAACCACCGCTGCTATTTGTTACCTACTCTGACAGCTACTTGTACTGATAGACGAGCAAGGAAGCTGCGAGCTCGCTGCAATCGCTACGTACACTCCCAAAAAAGACTGCATTCCGCCTTTCTCAGCCCTACTCCTTTCAATCCTCAAACACTGCAACTTCGCTGTCTGTCCATGTGTGTGTGTGTCTCTCTGAGCGCACTGGGTGGATCGACATTTAGCAACATGTGCAGTGTGCACTGGGTAGATCAGTGTACAGTTTTACATCCGCACATGTGTTGCATGCCTGCTTACATCTACATCTACCTAGACATACCTAAGCATAAACATATGCCTGTAACTTATGTGTGTGTATATACATACATATATATATATATATACATGTAGATGCATGCACATTATGCACATACATACACATCTAAAGTATACACGTACAGGCACACGCACATGCACACATACACGTGCACATACACATGCTCTTACCTTTACACCTACTCCTACACATACATGCACATGCAAACAAACCCTACGCATACACCTACACCTACACCTTCGCCTACACTGCCTACACCTGCACTTTAAACCCACACCTACACCTACATGTACACATACCCGTACACGTAAACCTGCACGAGCCTGTACACGTGCACACACTCGCACACATGCACATGCACAAACATACATACATAAGTACTTACATACATACATACACACATACATACGTACGTACGTACATACATACATACATACATACACACACAACGCACGCACCCATGCCACATGCACACATGCACACACATACACATATACATGCACATCCGGACATACACATACACATTGCACACACATGCACGACATATATGGTTGCGCCCCGGCGGGGCCCCCCCTCCCCTCCCCCCCCCCCCATGGTTCAGTTT